TATATATAAATGAGTAATTCTTTCTTCAAATAATTGCATTTTTCTTGAATTGAGGAGGTATGTGAGACACCTTGCCAATGGAACAAGACAATTTACAAATAAAAAACTGTTGCATTGTCTTATTTTAAGTATTTGTTATCTAATTATCTTATTTTAAGAGTTAAAATATTAATTCCATTGGCAGATCATCTTTTTACCAACTCAAATTAGAGGTTATTGCACCTAATTATAGAACTTTTTAAATTATTTCTAGATTGCTTTTGAAGTGTAAACCCCTATAATTTCTAAGTTCTCCTTTTTTTTGTACTGATCGCTGTTTACTAAGCCTGTGCCTCACTGCAACATACAAGTGGTGTTACTGAATAAATTACAGCAATGGACCAATAAATGTGACTTATGCGACACAGCCTCAACCAAAAAAACTTTGCTGAAGGACAGTCCAAAAACTTCTTTGGTATAAACAAATAAGAGTGAGTCTATCTTGGTGGTTTTAAGTGTGACCGGCTGTCTGTAACGGTGGGAGTGATAAAGGCCTACCACACTGCAGGGTGCAGCAGAATTAAATGATTAGAAAAAAGGGAATATTCGTCTCCATACATAAGTCTAGGAGGGAAGAATTAACATCAGGAACAATCCAGCAAACGAAAATAACTTACATGCCAAGAGACAGGACAAAAAATGTAACAATTAAACAGCGTCTTACAGCTAAACTAACAGTTTGGGTTGGTGTAGAGATACTTAGATTTCAGTTGTAAGTAAAATACTCAAATTGAATATTAATTTGACTCTTAATTTACTGGTCGATCTATGTTCCTACTCTAATCTATGGTCATGAGCTTTGGGTCATGACCAAAAGAACGAGATCCCCGATACAAGCGGCTGAAATGAGTTTTCTCTGCAGTGTGTCTCATCTGGGGAGGACTGAGAGTAGAGCCACTGCTCCTCAACATCGAGAGGCGCCAGTTGAGGTGGCATCTGATTAGGATGCCTCCTGGACGTCTCCCTGGTGAGGTGTTCCAGGCACGTCCCCCTGGGAGGCGGCCCAGGGGGAGACCCGGAACACGCTGAAGGGACTATGTTTCTCGGCTGGCCTGGGAGCGCCTTGGGATTCCCCCGGAGGATGGATGGATGGATGGATGGATGGATGGACGGACGGACGGACGGACGGACGGACGGACAGACGGACGGATGGATGTTTTAATTATAATTCTAAACTCCTTATGTTTGGGATTCATCATAATTATCAGAATCACTGCAAAATTGCTTCCGTTAAAAAAACAGATAAAATAGAATAAAATAATAAACTAAGAATATTTTTATTTGTTCAATACAAGAAAACTGACTCAGAGACTCAGATACAACTTTTAAGAATCAACTCTGTCAATATAATTTAATATTTAGAACAGGAATAATATTTAGCTAAATATCTACAGTTTTAGACAAAATAACAGTAAATCTTGACTAAATTATTACTGCAATTTCTGATAAAAATGTTAGGATCTGGATCACTGCTATCCAAATCGGAGTGTGGTACTACCAAGTCTGAGGAAGAATCGACAGGGAGCTGACTGGCTACGTCCATCAAATAAACGTATTGCTGTTGCAGAGATGAAAATGATAAGAAAATAAGAGCTGAAGTACCAAAAAAAAAAAAAAAAAGCCTTTTCTCTTTCCTTCCTAGGCCCTGGGCGTGAAGGCGTTCAGTAATATAGCTGGATAATGTAAATTGGGCAGCGCAGTTTTTTGGGAGTCAATGCTGGTTTCTGCTAAGAAACCAGGTCGTCCATGTGTTTGTCGCAGTTAACGCAGATATGCCCCCGCCCCTTCCACAGACACTCTGCTGCACCTCTCCAAAATTGTAGGTGATCACAGACAGTGTCGCAGACAGGAGGCCTCTGATTGGCCAAATCTACATCTGCTCTACACTGTGCGTATTTCCTGTTTGGTACCTTACTGGCTTGTTTGTATGACCGCCATTGTGGAAAACGACTCGTGAAGATGGACCAGCTAGAAGAGCGAGATGCTCGAGAACGCTGGGAGCCTTTTTCCACCTGGATCCCCACTCTTTTTCGCCCTTATGTCCCTCCGTTGTCAAACAAACTTGTCCCCCCTTCCTCACTGTCTCGGCCATATCTAGACCCACAGCTAGTTCCTGATTGTTTGTGGAATAACATAGCGCAGACCACGCTTCAAAAATGGGCATCAATCAAAAATATCTTTGTCATACCTACGACAAGCTCATTGCGACACACTGCTGCGGGAGAATAACCAGCCCTTTAATTGGTCAATTGGGATAAAGGACATTCTCATCAAAACACTGATTACCAATAAAAAAAAAAAAAAAAGTGTACATTTATACAACCACAAAGCCAACAATATTAAACAACCTTTTACCATGAGGAAAAACAACTTAAAGAGACAAAAAAGCTGGAAACATTATTGAATCCTGAGAATGTGAGACTGGGACAACAGATTGGAAGATCAAAGTAAAAATACAAACTCTAACATGGATTATATCCATCAAACAGCAAAGGTTCTATCTTATTTATGTCTTCAAATGAATGAAATAATACTTCTTTTAGCTCAGATGAGGGTCTGATGACTTTTACAAGTACAGTAGGGCAAGAAAGGAGGATCCGACCCAGCTCTCAGCAGCCAAAAGACAAATACAAAGAATGTCACTTTGAATTGGTGCGTCACATCTATAGTTATCAGATTGGTTCTGACCTGTTAATGCTGATGCTGTTAGCATCAGCATTAACAGATCAATCTGTCAATCTGCCTCGCCAGGCTAGTGTTTTACACTATATGCTGCTTTCTTAGCCTCTTTTTCTTTTTACTTTTAGCTGTTTAATACTGGAAAAGAAGGAAGGGATTGTTGCAGAGTCAACGACACATTGCAAGCAAACGTTTATTATCTCCACATCCTTATCTAAGGGTAGTGAATCCTGCAAAGCCAAAGACTGGATGCAGTCAGTCAAAATTTGTCTCTGTAAAGTGCCATGAGATGACATGTTGTGCTAAAGAAATAGACTGAGCTGAACTGATTTTTTTACTTTATTGGATGATTTAACAACGTAAGCAGGTTTTCAACAAATCAATAATCTACACAATTACCATCAGATTTCACTATTCTGTTCAAATAGATCAAAGGTTAGAAAGCCTGACACTAACAAATGGCTTTGTAGCATTGAGTGGACTAGACTCAGCTTCCCTGTGGTGTTTTTCTTCCGTCGCTTCTGCGGTACAGTAGTAGTGTGAGCTATTTGGTATTCTGTTTACACCACACTAAAATTAAAGGATCTGTTTAGGTTTGGGACTATCCCAGAGCAGGGGTACCAGCAGTCGGGTTATTCAGTTTGAATTGCTTCCACTTCCATGTCAACAAGACAGAGTGTTTTCTAATTACTGCTGCAGTTGGTGGTGTAGTGGTGTAGGGGACAAAGGAAAATGGAGGTAATGATGGATTCTGCAAACAATTAGAAGGTTGAGTTACTTTTGCGAAACTACTGTTAACACCTCAATGGACTGATGCAGAACCTTGACTTTACTGTATAATTTCAGTTCAAATGTGTGTTTCTCAGTCCCCAGTTTGACTGGCATCATGTTTTTGAAAAAGAATGAAGATGTTTCAGGAAAAAGAAAAAAAAGAAGAAACTGTGCTTCACTGGTTATCAAACATGTTTGATTTGATTTGAAATATTTTCCTCTAGACTTAAATTCTAGTGAGTTTTATTCTTTATATTTGCGAAAAAATTTTAGTCGATACGCCGGATGTTATTTTTAAAAGCTGGAACGAAAGGCAGGAAGCGTGTAAAATTTCAAAGCAACAAAATTATATAAAAAGACGGGCAGATGGACGGACAGACAGACGTTGTACCTTGTATATTGAATCAGCTTGAACAAGCATAAACCCATAAACAATGGGTTAGAAAATGTTGGTTTGTGATACGTTCACACCTAACGCGGTTTCAGCAGCATAACCTGCTGCTTCATTTTTTTATGCTTGTCTACATAAGGTCAGACGTGCCTCAAGAACATCCTCTAGTAAAGTGTGTCTAGATGCATCTGAAGCTTCTGCTGCTCCTGCGTTCAATGGCAGAGAGCGGCTTTGCTATTTTTGCTGTGATCGGTGGGTAAAAAGTTGTTTTGATATATTTTAAAGCGAGAAAATATTAATTTGCTTAAATATTATTTTGCTGATGGAGGCGCTCCAACCCCCACATACCGGTGGGGTGCTGTCACTGGGAATCCCCAGCAGCAGCTGCCTCAGTCCCGGTTGCCTCTTGGGCGTTTCCCCTACTGTTCATGGCGGCTGGAAGTAGATGTTAGCGTTTTTTTAGGTATATGCTAAAAACTTCAGGCACCAGATTAATAAATACGAACATATTCTTCTGGTAGATTTTGACATTTTAAGTTAATTTAGGTGTTAATAAACAGTTTCAGAGGAGTGGTCATACCACTCTGCATAAGCAGCATTCCCTGACACTCCCTGTCAGCTTCAAGTCAGCTTCTCTGATCCAACTCTGGCATCTGCTGCTTGTGAAGCGTGTCCAGCGCGTCAGAGGCTCAGAAGCTCATGAGACGCTACTCGGCTGCTGTGATGCATCAAGATGCGCAGCTCCTGCTGCTCGAGACACACTGCAGGACCTTTTGTTGCGCCTTTGTATGAAAACTAGCTGCTTTTGCTGCTTAAATGTATGTGTGTGCATGTGCGGTGTGAAAATAGCATTACATACATTATGCCTTTATGTAATGCCACATTATGTAGTGATTCCAATGAATACTTATATACTTATAAACAAATTGGGTAAAGAATAGATGTATAACCAGGAGTGGGTAAAACTGGACTCTAAGAAATGTAATTCATCATTGGTGTGATAGGACAAAAATAAAGGATTGAAGATTAGTTTTTTTTTTTTTTTGGTTGGAAACCCTAAAATAACTACAAAGAAGCCAATACCAATGTGTATATAAAAACAAATGATCTAGAAGATTACCTGAACAGTAAGTCGCTTGACAGCATCCCAGGCATGACTGAAAAGTTCCTTCATTTGTTCATCGGACGTCGTCCAAGACCCGTCGATTGCAGTGTCCGGTATGACCTTCATTGGTATGGACATGGGGCGTGATTCTGTAAAAAAAAAAATAAAAATACTTTCTGAAATTTACATTCAAGCTTTGATTCAACAGTCTTTTAAATTCTACTTCCAGTTTTGGGAACCTCATACATCCAGTAGTGATGTCAGATTTGTTGAAACATTTAGCCCAAGGCACCAGTGACCTCTTTACCACAGAAGTAATGTAGCACCCTGTAAAGTCTTAAACAAAAATCAATATTTTATTTATTAACATGAGGAAATGTACTGTCCTCCATTTATTCTTGACTTAACTCTTTTTAAGACTCCCTGTTATTTTCATTTGCTGTACAGTATCATGTTATATGATGTTTAACTGACACTTCATCGAGATGATGTAATGCTGGCACTTGGGTTTCTTGTCTCCGAAAGTGGGAGAGGGAACTGTGAGAACGGACATAAAGGGCACGCATGTACACACACATAGAGAGAGACGCACGCATTTATAGTTGGAGACATGATTTGTCCTCGCGTGTGCCAGCTGTGGTCTAGACTCAGGCTGATTGTCTGTGCTAACACTCATGGCAACAGAAGTCAAATGTCAACAAACTTACATGTCATCTTTCAATTATCCACATTAACCTTGTGACCAAACCACAGCTTCATTATTTAATAACTGCTCTTGTTACAGAAGAAAACAGAGTGAGAAAGAAAAGAAATAAAGCTTAAGAGATGAACCAACGGAAGTATTAAAGAAGACTATCAAGCTCTACCAGGATGAGCTGTGGTCTGTCATGTTAGAACCATTAGGAGTTTAAAAAAGGGGAAGTATCTCCTAAGACACAGTAAACCATATCCCATGATTGAAAGCCCTGTCCTGCTCTGGAGCCTTATTCCATAGTTGTCATAAATAGGACTGAGGTCACAGGACTATTCTGTATTTTCTGACACAGTTTTACCAAATGACAAAAAAAATACAAAAGCAATAACAAAATGTTACTAGGGAAATAGGAAAATCAGATGGTTAGTTCACATAGTGCATGACTGTTATGGTAACATACCACTGGCCAATTTTCTAGCCAAAAGTCCTATAGTTAGGATATACCTTGGAATTTTCCTTATTTTTAGGTAAAAAGATCATAGTTAATTCGTGTTCCTTTTTCGCCCATTGCTTTTAAAGGATAATTAATGGATAATTAGTTTATTTAAAATAGTGCAATGATGTAAAGGAAGAAAAATCACCATACTGCCCCAGTCCAGTGGGGGGCAGTAAGAAAAAAACAAAGAATAAACAAAAGCCTGACAGAATTTCCTGCCATTTGTTTACTAAATAGATATAGGAGCAAAGCTGTTATTTGTCCTGTTCCGTTGGCCCAAATTTTTTATCACAAAAACTAGCCTTATATGTAAATCTTGTATAAAGTAGAAAACACCAACAAAACACAGGTCTTGAAAGGCAGTTTAGTTGAATTCAAAAGACTTTAAAAAAGGGTCCACTAATCTTTATTGCAAACACATGAGTTCGACCTTCAACAATCCTGTGATAATCTAAAAATCGTGTCTTCAGACCGGTGTTTGTAACATTTAGTTCCCCTGAAATAATCTTCCCCCTTATAGCCTGTGTTTAGCATTATAGTTATGGTGACTCAAGTGGGTCCTGATTTCTTTAAATTTAGGTGTAAGATATAACTTCTTTGGCCTTAGGTATAAGTCATGACTTCTTTAGGTTTAGTTGTCACAAATTCTTTAGTTTTAGCTATAAGTCATGACTTCTTTGGGTTTAGGTATGTCGTGACCTTGTTAGGTTTAGTTATAAGTCATGACTTCTTTGGGTTTAGTAATGAATCATGATTTCTTTGTGTTTAGTTGCAAGTCGCAACTTCTTTGGGTTTAGGTATAAGTCATGACTTCTTATGGTTTAGTTATAAGTCATGACATTGGATGTACTTATAAACAATGACTTCTTTTGGTTTAGGTATAAGTCATGACTTCTTAAGGTTCAGGTATAAGTCATGACTTCTTTAGGTTTAGTTATAAGTCACATAATTGAATGTACTTATAAATCATGACTTCTTTAGGTTTAGTTATAAGTCACATCATTGAATGTACTTATAAATCATGACTTCTTTGGGTTTAGGTATAAGTCATGACCTTGTTAGGTTTAGTTATAAGTCATGACTTCTTTGGGTTAAGTAGTGAATCATGATTTCTTTGGGTTTAGTTATAAGTCACAACTTCTTTTGGTTTAGGTATAAGTCACAACTTCTTTAGGTTTAGTTATAAGTCATGGCTTCTTAAGGTTCAGTTATAAGTCATGACTTTTTTAGGTTTAGTTATAAGTCATGACTTCTTTGGGTTAAGTAGTGAATCATGATTTCTTTGGGTTTAGTTATAAGTCACAACTTCTTTTGGTGTAGTTATAAGTCACGATTTCTTTGGGTTTAGGTATAAGTCATGACCTCGTTAGGCTTAGTTATAAGTCATGACTTCTTTGAGTTTAGTAATGAATCATGATTTCTTTGGGTTTAGGTATAAGTCATGAACTCGTTAGGCTTAGTTTTAACTCATGACTTCTTTGAGTTTAGTAATGAATCATGATTTCTTTGGGTTTAGTTATAAGTCACAACTTATTTTGGTTTTAGCATAAGTCACGATTTCTTTGGGTTTAGGTATAAGTCATGACTTCTTTGGGTTTAGGTATAAGTCACAACTTCTTTTGGTTTAGGTATAAGTCAAAACTTCTTTAGGTTTAGTTATAAGTCACAACTTCTTTTGGTTTAGGTATAAGTCAA